AAGAAATCTATATCCAGATAAGGTATGCTATGTGATAACGGAGGTCGGGCCAGTAGGGGAGATCCTTGAGCCTAAGGAATTAAGAGGACAATTCCGTAATGCGATCGGGGCCCTAGTAAGAGATAAATTGAACCCAGCAATCCCTAACTAGAAAAAGGTACCAGAGAACACAAAGAATGCACTATGGGATAGGCAGCTGAAGCTCAATTTTAGATTTTCGGAGGGTAAGCACGAATTGGTAAAAAAATGCTTTTAGGATGATGGGAGAGTCATTCTAATGTTGGAGGTCGGAGCTCAACACGAAGTATATCCAAAAGGGGTTAACTCCCTTCAATGAGTTCGGAAAAATAACTCCTAGTCAATGGGAAGAGCTCGTGGCTCAGAAGACTTCACCGGAGGCATTGGAGCTCAGTGCCCGTAACACCGAGCTGGCGAAGAGGAACAAACACCACCATCATCTAGGCCCCGGTGGCTACTATGCCAAGGAAGAGCAGTTTAGGAAGATGGACGAAGAGGCCACAGCTGCTGGGAAATCGATGTGACTAATTTGTAGGTACGCTCAAGGAATTGGATATATGCGAGGAGTATAGAATCATCCGGCGGTAATCTTAAGTTTGATAAGCCGGAGACCCAAGAGGTAGTATCAAGGATACTGAAATATGCTGAAGATAAGGAAAATGGCTCATTCAATCCTTCCAGAGAGAGGGACGAGCTTAGCCTTGGCTTGGGAAACAAGGAGCACACAGGCCGCACCAGGGGGCTAGGGAAAAGGACGACCTGGAAGCAAGGATTCGAAGAGGACAGGCACATGTACAAGAAACATGGCAGAGACCGGGAGACTAGTCTTGAGCTCCAAGTGAAGGCGCTAGTTGCGAAGGCGCTGGAGGAGCAAGGACTGTCTACGAAGCCATGGATATTAGTGACGCCACCGGGAGAACTGGCATTAGTTGGCAGCCCTCCGAAAGTTCCTAGCAGCCAAGGTTCCACTACAACCACAACCCCCGTCGATCGTATACGGGAACCAACTAGTTGCACCTTGGTGTTTCTCAGTGGCCGGCAGAACACTGTGATGGAGGTGACAACGGGTGTGGCACATCCTTCCGGTGGCTTACACCACAATAATAAGATACCGTCGGACTACACTAGGGTCGAGGTACATACAGTGAAGCCCGAGTTCATGTAGTGGAGGATAGACTACGCAACTCCTGAGGGGCTGGTGTTACTCGGAGACGTTATGGGGCAGTTCATCCTCTGGCACAAACGGAACATTATATTGACCAATTCTTCGCCGCCTCCCCCTCTCCCAAATTTAGAGCGAGTTGTTGAGGTCGGGGAGATATTTTCACCGTCTCGTGACCACCACAATCCTGAGATGCCACATTCTTCCCCACCTCCTAGCAAACATGTGCCTGATGAGATGCCACAACCTTCTCCAGCTCGTACCGAGCAAGTGCATCATGAGATACCATAGTCTTCTCAACAAACATAGCCGATACATGAACAACGAGTGCCTCCTGAAGAAGGTGATGCACAAGAAGATGAAGACGTGCCTGAATGGGAACTTCGAAAGAAGCATCCAATCACCATAAGGCTAGTTTATGTTCTGATCAAAAACGTCTCATCGGTGTCCAAGTGGTTTTTCCATGACCAGTTCAAGCCTGAGAACCAAGTTAAAAAAGTCCCATCACAGGGTTCTGAGGAGGCCGTCACTAGCAAACTCCACCAAATTGCAAAGCAGTATCCAAATGTTGATGCCATCAAATGGTCAAAGGATTGCCCAAAAACATATGAAAGAGGCAAGCCCTTCCTACCAAACTGGGACATCCAGCGCCTACCACTTGGAATGAGAAGGTTCCATGATCGGTACTTGCGTGTTCTCCCAACGAGCATAGATCTCATACAAGCATGCTTTCCCACCGGCACATTTGGAAGCTCAGCCGGGAAAATTATATTTGACTTCAATGACATGCACACATGCTTTCACCTGGGAGAAATAGAGATGAATCTAATTCGCACGTGGTGCTTGTAAGTCCTTGTCCTCCCGATATGATATGAATGTAATCTTTGAATTTTGTTGTAACTAACCCACGCCGTGATTTGTAGAATGCAAGTGCACATTGTCAAACAAATGCCAAGTGTGCAAGCCAGGTATCTAGACCCTCAAGCTATAGCCCAAACAAATTTTAATTACCCTAAACAGTGGACATTGGATGCCAAAGAGCTAGCTGCTGCAAAGACTCTTCGGGAGAAAGAGCGCATCCGTACGGCGAAACTAAGGGAAGAGTCCCTTAAGGTTGCGGCATACATTGCCCTGGCTTTCAAAAATCTCCAACAACACTCTACTATATGGCTACCATACAACTTCGAGCAAGTTCAACTCTATACTTAAAGCTTTGTTCGATATATTTTATTTGATGCAAAATAGTTTATCTAGTTCTATGATTAAATCCAAGCAGCAACCACTAGATTTGTATAACCGTCGATGTCGGGAGGAGCATGGCATGGGTCTTTGATTCAATAGATAGGGACCCGGTGACATACAAAGACTTCATATCGATTCTCAAGACGTATACATATCGACAATCCTCATTAGCTTATATGTTTGTATACGTACTTGTAACGTTCACTTTTGGATTCTAACAAGTTGTATTTGCTAAAATAATTCGAACAGGGCATTTAGGTTCTATGTCACTAATCATCACGGAAGGCATGATCCAGCAATGAAGGAAAAGCTGGCTATAAAAATACTATGTGCGGTAAGTGTAACTTACTTCTTCAGTACTCCGTTATATGGCTGTCAAAAGCATTACTTAACATTTTCATATGCAAAACACACAGTGCCCCAACCAGAAGCCTGAGAGTGTACATTGTGGATACTATATATGCTCTATGATGAGTAACACCGGTGCCTACAGGAGACACCCCTTAAGGGTAAGTTTAAACCTCTTCACCCGTAGTATGAAAACTTCGTACATGGTATGAAATACTAAACCGAAACTTGTTCTCTTGTAGTGGAGAGAAGAAAAATGAATGAAAAGAGACACATACAAGGATGATCAACTCTTAGAGCTCGTCGGCGACCTTTGCAACTTCATATTGGACCAGATTGTACACGTCAGAGGCATCTACCATGACCAAGAGTCTGACTTAGGTAGAAATCCTCAGTACCAACACCTTTGTGAGACTGAAAGGCTAGCTCTAGGATGTTGATAATAATGTGTATGGAATTTGTATATTTAATGATGGATTGTATATATTCTTGTGAATCAGACTTGTAATTGTAGTTTATATAATACTCTTGTGCTTGTAGTCGCGGTCGTGGGGCGTTCAGCAACGCGAACGTGGTTCGAAACGTTGGTCACGGGACGTTCGGCAACGCGAACGCGGTTCGGAACGCTGGTCGCGGGGCGTTCGGCAACGCGAACGCGGTTCGGAACGTTGGTCGGGGGGCGTTCGGCAACGCGATTTGAATTGTAAATTTGAATTTTTTTTACGAAAAAACGTACTATAGGGACGGTTCTAGATTGAGCCGTCCCTACAAACAGGAGCCGCCCCTACAAATCGATTGTAGGGGCGGCCTGGGAACCGCCCCTACAAATGCATGATTTGTAGAAACGGTTCGATAGAGGCGGCTAGCCAAACCGCCCCTACAAAGGGTTACGAGTCGCCTCTAAAAATCGATTCTGTAGTAGTGTTTGGGGATTATCAAAGAAGTCTTTCATATACACTCCTATCCGAAATCTCTGAATCAATTCTCTGGCATTTGGTTACCAGGCAAGGGGCCCCTTCCTAGCAAATTGTAATGTTTGTATTTGCAGTTGGGCTTTATGGACCACTAGGAACAAGATGGCTGTTGAGAAAAAGCTACCAAGAACTCCAACTGACGTGGTGTATGTTGCGCTATCCTTACTGCAGAAGTGGATCATTATGCTGACAAGGAGCGCATCAAGCATGTGCTGGAGGACGTGAAGCAATAGATGAAGACTTTCAAGCCTAGCATTAGCATGGTGGAGATCTCGGATGTTGGCGAAATCTAGATCCTTTAGTGCTTCTAAGGAGTTGCAATCTGGTGTAGACTTTTGAGGCCTTCTGTTGTCTTTCGTTTATCTAGTTCTGTTATGGCCTTGTGTGGCTTATCCTGGTAAACTGGTAACCACAGTCTTGTATCGAATATTTGCCATTTAACTTTTTGTTCTCCGTCTTTACGCCATTATCCTTATGTAGTGTTGAAAACATCTGACCTATTGCAACCATTCTCTTTGCTTTTTGTTTGCTAATAATCGAAGGAAAAAATCATACTAGGTCCGTAAGCTCAAAATGGGCCTCCAAAATCGGGCCCAGACCCATTCAGAAAAGCCCACGTCTGTACCCTGTCCTTGCCGGCTCCGTCGACCGTCTCCCCGTGGAAGTGAAAGGGCCTTCCTCCAGAAGATGCTGCGCTGGCGTGCCGTCCTGCTCCTCCCACTCCCACTCCCTCTCCCTCCGCCGCCTCGCTTGCTTCGCCGCCTGCCGCACCCGCGCGCCCTCTCGTCCTCGTCCTCTTCCCCGCTCCCGCCACCGTGGATGGAGGCTTCCTACAAGTTCGGGCCCTACAAGATCGACGCCAGGGAGGTCTTCCACGCCACGCCCCTCTCCTACGCCATGGTGAATCTCCGCCCGCTGCTCCCGGGTGGGTAACACACATACCCATGCTCCCTCCCTTTCCACTTCACCTCTGATGGTTCTTGCTTGCTTCGTTGCTGTAGACGCAGCCACTCCCGAACTTACTGCACCGTAGCATTTTTTTAGCTTGGGAGTTGCTGGAACAGGAAGATTAGTCGTCACGACAGAAAGTGGGGGAAAGTATAAAAGCCCCAGCTTTCTCGCGGAAATATGGTTGATGGAAATTAGATTGATCAAACGTTGGGTCCCAAAATGCTAAATAAAACTTGTGTATTCAGAATCATGCCCTGCTTCTAACAAATTCGGCAAGGTAACAGTGTACCACTGAACCATGACCAATGGGGATTGTTTCAGTAGGCAAGGATCAATGGATCATGGGCATTGCCTTCTGTTTTGGCTGGGAAACCCAACCCAATTCCTGCCATCTCATGGTACTTTATCTAATCCCTGCCTAGTGCCTATAGAACAAGCTAATAACAGTGTCAATCTAGATTTCCTCCTGATGAAACCTGAGACTACTGGGTAGTCCTTCCCTTAGACATTGCATTTAAGCTTTGCATATCTCTAAATCACCACATTGCATTTCTTTTCTTTTCTTTTTTCTCATAGACACTGCATTTAACAATACGAATCTTTCTTATGCAGGTCATATCCTTTTATTTCAGCGAAGCTGGCACTGTAATTTCTTGGAAGCTAGTTTTACAGTTTTTTCCACTCTGCAGGCACTGTCTAATGATTGCTCACTTCAGTATAGTTCATGAAGAGCACTGAAACAGATATGAAAGAAACTGAGCGATGGCATTTTTCGACAAACCTTTGCATTGGCTCTCTTATTTTTAGACCTGGTTATCTAGTCTGTCTAGGGGGATCAAGTTAGCTGTAGGTACTCATTTAGTGAGGACTCTGTTTTATCGAGCCACTGACTTCATATTTGGTTCATCTTTCCATGGAGACCATCTACAACTCTATGCCATGATTATCTGTTTTTCATATCATGCAACAGTTTCACTTGCAGAATAACTGTATGCCTGCAACTCAAGTTGACTTTATTTAAGCAATTTTTTTTCTGTGACTCTCTGATTGGAATTGTTAAACATTTTTTGTTGTGTTGTCATTTGGTGCAAAGCTGTCATAACTCATAACCCACCTGAGTAAATTTATTTGACTCAAAGATTAATACATCACATGTTGAGGAAGATGTGTTCTTCTATATGCATCATTTTTTCCTTGACAATACATACATGTTCTTGTGTGCCCCAAGCGTGAAGTGAAAAGATTCGCTGATCTAAGCTCTGATGAGATTAGTGACTTATGGGTTACTGCAAAGGAAGTTGGTGCACGCCTTTGAGCAGTACCATAAAGCATCACACTTACCTTTGCTATCCAGGTGTGGTCTGTGCTTCAGTTTTACTGTTGTAGTCAGCCCATCCTTCCATTACTCAGTACTAAAATTATACAGTATAAAAAAAGTGCCCAATTTGGGTGTCTAAAACGTAAATATGATGAATATTGTGGAAAATATCATATATGTTTATACTATGTCATACAGGCTATGCTAACTCCATTTTGTTCTTTTACTATTCATACCATTGATTAGCTTGTTATGGACTTATATTTGTTATATTATATTCTATGATGATGCCATGAGGTTTCTTATTAACAAGTGATATTACTTGTCAGGATGGTCCTCAAGCTGGCCAAACAGTTGCACATGTCCACATTCACCTCATCCCGAGGAAGAAAGGGGATTTTGAGAAAAATGATGAAATATATGACGCGGTTTGTGGCCCATTTTTCTATTAATCTGGTTATTTTATTACAATATCCAATCAAACAAAGCTTACCCTTTTCCTTGCTATGATAGATTGATGTGAAAGAGAAAGAACTGAAGGAGAAGCTTGATCTGGACATTGAGAGGAAAGATAGAACCATGGATGAAATGGCTCAGGAGGCCAATGAGTACCGTCCTCTTTTCTCCTAGAATTACATGATAGTATAGTAGTTAGTTTCTAAGTTGAGCTGACTGTTTGCTAGAAATAAGGCTTGCTACTTGTCCTTCGTTGTTGCAGTTCAGTTATGATTGCGCACTGACATTGTGATGGTGTCCAGTTCTGGTGTTATGTTCTGTACTGTGGAGAAATAATCATTTGTTGCAAGGAATGCATTCCTAATGCCAACTCTTTTAGATAGATTAGAAACTATTTTTTTGTGTGTACTACAGAGCGTCAACTGTTTTCTGGAAGAATTATGTCTTTACTGCAATCTTTTTCTTTGTGGAATTGTAAGAGAGGATGTACCATTAGTCACAAATTACCCCTTCAGCAGTTTATGCAGGATTAGTTAAATTAGATGTCCATCTACTGTTAAACAAAATTGATTAGGACAGAAAGATTGTGTTTAGTTCTTTCGTAGCGTGCTAAAGTTTTATTCTAGTGCCAACTGTCCATTATGTTTTGTTCTGTGCTAGGAGAATCTTGGTTGACTGTAGCCTTTTCACTGAATAAGTTATTTATTTGGATGATGCTTCTGTCCAAATATCAAAAGTTGATCTGATTCATGAATGCAAGATTCTGATCCTCTCTAGCTGTTGTAGGCCTAGTTAAGCTTTATTCCATGCCCCCTGCTGATGCTTATGGTGTACAGTAAGTTCTTGACAACTCAAATGTTCTGATTAAAATCATGCTGATTGTTTCATTGACTTTTGTTTCATTGACAACTCAAATGTTCTGATTAAAATCATGCTTATGTTGTACAGTAAGTTCTTAACTGGATAGATCTTCAACCCCCCCCAACTTTTACTGATTTGCGTCTTGGATTTCATTGACTTTAGTCACTTTCATCCTTTCCATTGCGCTCTGTTTGCTTGGTATCTGGAATTCGAACTTTGTTTTATTGGATTGGATGCCCCTTGCGGCAGGCCATTGTCCATTGGCATGATGGGATGACCTGGGCTAAATAGCTCTTAATCCATCAAGCTTTGTGTCGCTATCGACGAAATATGGTCGGCAGTCCACCGAGGGGGGTGCCCGTGGTGGTAGATTATCGGTAGGATGCGTGTGATAGGAACCGGATGGTGACACAAGGCGCAGAGACAACGATTTAGACAGGTTCGGGCCGTCTGATCGACGTAATACCCTATTTGGTGTATTGTATTGAGATGTATCCAGATTAACCTGTCCTCTAGGGGACCCTTGTCTCTCCTTATATACTCCGAAGAGACAAGGTTACAAGTAAAGTATTCAATTTGGTACTATTACAATATCTAGTACAACTTGTAATCTTGATGTGCACGTCTTGATCTTACGGGTCACCACCTCGGATGAAAGTGCGGCCCATGTACCATCTTGTGGTACCCGGGTATATCCCCACGCCTAGTCCCCGAAAGTCCATGTATTCGACACGACACGCCGCTTCAACCTTCTTCAACAAAGTGAGGCTTGAGTTCTTGACATCTTCGACCACCGTTGTCGCCGAGAAGTAGGTTGTCCAAGAATGTATGGTGCTCTTAAGAAGAAAGAAAAAGATTTTCGTCACGGAAGTGTGCCCACTTGTATTTACGAAAAGAAATGTAAGTGCGTCTTGAAGCGTAGCGTCCCTTGATCATCGAGGGCGTGGGGTTGAAAAACAAACACATTCACCGTAAGGTGAAGTGTGCCCACTTAGTCCCCGAGCCTGGTAGTAGGTGACGTAGGCACGTGGTGTCAGGGTCTAAAAAGAATTCCCAGTTAAGTTGAGAAACGAATCGTCGTACAGGCGATACAAGATGCACCGGCAGGTGCATCGTATCGATGTAGTCCCCGAGCTTGCTGGAAGGCGAGGTATGAGCCTTGTAGCAAGGTCTAAGTGAGAAAAAATATTCCAACTGTATGCGAGTCGCCAGTCGCATGTAGTCGAGACGCAAAGTCCCCGAGCCATGGTCGGAGAGTGGTCGAGGCAGTCCCCGGGCATAGGTCGAGGAGCGAGCGACGAAGTCCCCGAGCCGTGGTCGGAGAGTGGTCAAGGCAGTCCCCGAGCACAAGTCGAGGAGCGAGCGACGAAGTCCCCGAGCTGTGGTCGGAGAGTGATCGAGGCAATCCCAGTGCGTGAGAAGCGAGCGACGAAGTCCCCGAGCTGTGGTCGGAGAGTAATCGAGGCAGTTCCTGAGCGTAGGTCGAGAAGCGAACGACAAAATCCCCGAGCTGTGGTCGGAGAGTGATCGAGGTAGTCCCCGAGCGTAGGTCGAGAAGCGAGCGACGAAGTCCTCGAGCCGTGGTCGGGGACTGGTCGAGGCAGTCCCCGAGCACAGGTCGAGGAGAGAGCGACGAAGTCCCCCAGCATAGCTCGAAATTACTGCAATATAAATATGTAGAATGGTAGTACATGATGTATAAAGTAATAAATTATGGAGAAAATGACGCTCAGCAGTCATTTGCAAATGAGCATGATGTGATAAAGCAGTTGGTGCTTTTATAAACATCAGTGTTAAAGTGAAGTTTGTGTTTATACTTAATATAAACTGTCCGACCAGTTAGTATGTAGCTGAGTCTCCAGCCCTAGCTAGCCCGTTAACCATAACGCGGGGCGCGGAGCCCGTGCACGCGTAGGAAGAACAAAGCGTCGCTAAGGAGCCGCTGCCGACCACCCATAACGCAGAGGTCAGACGCTCGTGCACGTGTAGGGAGGAGACAGAGACAGGGCCTTTTCTGGAGACATCAAGCGTCAACATGATTGGTCGAGGATTTGCATTAAGTATAGCTGTATGTTATCTTTAAGATGGTATACATGGACAAACGTTATTTGAAGAATAATCATGATGAGGACGCTGTGGAGAAACGTCGTAATGAAAATTATGTTAAATATAAATATTAGAAGTGTACTTATCTTTGGATAGAAATCTGGTCGGTGGCGATGAAGTTGTCTGGTCCTCGAGCTTTCCGACTTGTAGTCACGACGATGGTCGCGGTTGTCGTAGCGCCGTTCTTCGCGGCGATCATCATTGCGACGTGGTCTGGTGGTCGACGTGGTCGGAGCTCGGCGGAGCCGCTCGGGACGTGGTCGATGTGGTCTGGTGGTCGAGGTGGTCGGAGCTCGACGAAGCCGCTCGAGACGTGGTCGACGTGGTTTGAGCTCGGCGGAGCTGCTCGGGACGTGGTCGACGTGGTCGGAGCTCGGCGGAGCTACTCAGCGGCTCGGTTGATGGCTCGACGTGGCTCGCTCAGCGGCTCGTGCGGTTCGCTGGTTGGCTCGGCGTGGCTCGCCTACGGTTTGGCCGGCTCACTTGATGGCTCGACGCGGCTAATTTAAACAGCTCGGACGCTTCTTTTGGTAGCTCGTGCGGCTCAGTTAACAATTTGATTCGGATGGCTCCATGTATTTGGACTTGGACGTATTTCATTGTACGTATTAGTATTGTATGGATGCCGCCGATGGATGCCTTAGCACGACATGCAAGCAAGTGGATCCGCTCCCAACGCATATATGTGCTTGTAGATGCACACATACTCCTCTATTTGCTTGTGCGTAGACCTCCGTGTGTTGCTATTGGCTTGCATGTCTGGCCCGTGCAGAACTAGGAGTCCATTGCCCGCACGCGTTGAGTTGTCGAGGCCTGAGAACCGGCAGCATATGTCGAATATCGTGAGGCCAAAGTGTGAAGACGGACGGGTACGCTGATGCTGTCCACCGTGTAGTTGCAACGAGATCCGAAGGCACGTTGCTGATTGTCATGCCAGTAACCACTGGTCCACCATGGATGCATGCGTGTGGTGCCAAGTTTCAACCCCTCGTGTGGCGGCATGTGATAGGAAAAGTGGCTCACCGCCGAACCGGTTAAAAATTAATCTTAGTTACATATGTGGAGAGCAGATTGATCTAATCAAAAGCCTTGCCCAGAACGACTCACCCGATTACTTGGTAGAAATCAATGAAAATTCCCATTTGGCTCGTCGAAAGATCAGCGTGCACAACCCCTAAAGGGGACCCCTACCTGGCGCACCACTGTCGACGAAATATGGTCGACGGTCCACCGAGGGGGGTGCCCGTGGTGGTAGATTATCGGTAGGATGCGCGTGATAGGAACTGGATAGTGACACAAGGCGCAGAGACAACGATTTAGACAGGTTCGGGCCGTCTGATCGACGTAATACGCTACGTCCTGTGTCTTTGGTGTATTATATTGAGATGTATCCAGATTAACCTGTCCTTTAGGGGACCCTTATCTCTCCTTATATACTCCAAAGAGACAATGTTACAAGTAAAGTATCTAATTTGGTACTATTACAATATCTAGTACAACTTGTAATCTTGATGTGCACGCCTTGATCTTACGGGCCGGGCCACCTCGGATGGTGCGGCCCATGTACCATCTTGTGGTACCGGGGGTATATCCCCCACAGTCGCGAATAGCGGTCTGGAACCATTTGTAGTGATGAAAATGTACATGTTGCCAAATGGCCAGTCTACTGGTCAGGGTCAGGGTGTTGCTATGCTGTCTCCTGTCGCCATCGGAAGACATTGCCGCTGGACTAGGTCACCTGCAACTGCAAGCCTGCAACAACTAGTTTCTGGTTACAATTGTGTGCTTGCCCTGGCGTACTTGACATGCGCAAACAAGTGGTTGCTTTTGTGGTGGGAATCCAGACTGTAGCTTTATAGCGTTGTTGAAAATCAGAAAATGCTGTGGGGATAAGTATGCCCTATCAGATGCTGCTGATCAGGAGATGCAGCATTGACAGAAGTGGTTGCTGCAAGAATTCAGTACTTTTCTTCAGGTACCCTCATTCCTCCACTAGGTGCTAGCAATTAGCAAATGCATGTCATTTTCGCCAGTCCTTTTGCATCCTGAGGTCACACTGTCTATGCGTACCTTCATCAAAACAAAACTCTTCAGGCATCCTGAAGGAACACAGAAAAATGATCTAGAGTCGTCGTTGCTTTGCTGCATGATCTGCTACTGCTACGGTTTACATGTCTGTCTGTCTCGCCATGAACTGCCTACTGTGAAGAGCACACCATGGGCGTGTACTGCCTGCGACAGATCCTGTCCATGACGACGACGATCGCCATGACTGTGGCCACGTCGACGCCCGGCTGGACGACGAGGCTGAACACGTCATCCCCGAGCGTGGCCACCGGCCTGGACGCCACGCCGGCGCTCTTCCTCGTTATCCGCGCCGCCTCCCTGCCGTCGCTGCCATGCCGAATCTTGCAGCTCCGCCTCGAGAAGGAGCCCTCCACTCGGTAGCCTGGAACGGTGGCCACGGCCTGCGGTTGCTTGCAGCTGAGGGTCGACGACGACGAGGACGCGGCAGCAGCAGAACCTGCTCTTGAGGATGACATGTGGACCTCTGCGTTGTCGCTGCTGCTACGCAGAGCTGAGCACCTGCTCATCGTGAAGACTTGCTGCTGCGCCGGCGACGTGGAAGACGCCTTCTTGTCGACGGCGGCGTCTTCCGTTGCCGTGTAGCAGTTCCATCGGTCGTGCAGGCTGAGAAGCTGTTACACACCATTTTTTTTCACCCTGATTAGCTACCTGCCGTCGTTTTGCTTAGTAGTAAAAAACTAACAGTAAAATTACAGATCAGAGGTTGTGTCAATTTGTGCTTTCGATCGGTGTTGCACTAAACCCCGTTCGCTCGATTGTATCTTATCAGTCATGATATAGTATTTTTCTCCCACAACAAAACAGCATCAACCGGCTTATAAGCCACAGAAACGATCAAGCGAACAGGATGAAAGTGTGCACATAAAATGTTTTTAATTGGGGTAAGAGTAAGACACCGTCTCTGTTCGGCTAGTCTATAAGCCGTTTGTGCTGATTTGTACGGCTGATTTATTGGGAAAGAAAAATATTGTACTATGGCTGATAAACCGCTTGTGCTGATTTGTACGGCTGATCACTTTTTAGTTGCTTGTTTTTTTGTACCTAATCTATTCTTGTTTTTTTCACTTGGCCCAAGTTAAATCTTCTAACGCACGACTCAGGAAATCTTTGATTAATCTGGGGCTACTAGTGTATTCGACAAATAGGGATGTCATTTTAGGGGTAAGAGGGGGAAAACGAAGGACTGTAAAGTTGATGACGTTAGTTCCGTGCCGTGGACTGAAAATTTGTTTGACCAAGCTTCAACAGTGGCTAATCTAGTTTGCACGTTGTACTTGCGCCAAGACATTAATGAGCAGAGGAAAATGAACATCATAAACGATAACCTTGATTTGTGGTTGTGTTTTTGCTTAGTCAAAAACTGATGGCGAAAAATTAAGAATAGAGACCAAGGATTAGGACTTTATTTCGAGATCATTTTGTGCTTTTGGCACAACTGGTGGGTGGCCTTGCAACTTGCGGCGAAAAAGTTACTGGGTTAAGATAAAAAATACATGTGTGGCGACTGACTAAGACCCATAATAGTGCTTTTCTTGTGAAAGCATTTTTGTTTGGTTGTTTTTGTCGGTAATTCCATTTCTTTGTCTGGTTACTTGTCCTATTGGTTGGCCTAAAAATCTTCTGCCGAGTCACCAAATCTTTAAGTAATTGGAGTGATCGCTCATTGAACAAAATTTGGGCAGTCATTTTCTGAGAAAGGGAAAAATGGGATGGCGTGATTATCATGTCAGTAATGGAAATTGCGAAATTTAATCTGTGATTACTACATGCATGTGGACTGTAGCTTATTCGGTTGATGTTTAAGGACTGGAAACCAAATTTACATTTCCTACGTATCCCTTGCATGGCTTCCAAGGAATTGATCGAAATTCGAAAGTGGGCCAAAAAAAAAAGAACTTTGTAACCAGCAGTGCACGTATGTATATGGTGTTGGATGTGCAAATCATAGGATGAAATAAAACTGTTTTCTTTCATCAAGCAAACAAGACAATAAGTTAAGAGAGTAATTATATACTATCATCTGTGTACGTGATCGATAATAAGCAGCTAGTTAGTAAGTAAATGAGCGTAGTATGTAACTATGTATACCTGTGGCCTGAGGGAGAGGAGAGGCGTGCCCTGGCCATCCATGAGCAGCAGCTCGCCGGCGCAGAGTTTCCAGCGGCGGGAATAGTTGTCGACGCGGAACGCTAGCCTGCCGGCGGCGTCGTAGACGCAGAAGCCGTCGGTGCCCTGGAAGCCCATGCTGGACCTCTTCCACACCGTGTACACCGCCGACCGGCGTTCCCGTTCCGCCGCCGCAGCCCGACGACGGGCACGGCCGCCGGCGTCCGAAGACGAAGGGTGTATCCGTGTACTCATGCTAGGAGGGAGATGATGGATCGATGGATGAAGAAGAAGAAAAAGAAGAAGTACAGAAGGTGGTGGTGGTGCGTGGTACGTGTGGCGAGAGCAAGGAGAGGGTATATAGGATTGACGTGAGGGAGCAGGCAGGTGTCTGGAATGGGAACAAGTGAAAAGGCTAAGCTGTGGCGCCAAAGCGAGTCGCCATCCGTGGCTAGCTTTCAGGATTTATTCACATGGCGTACGTATACGGATGCTTGTTGAAATGAATCCTGGATGCCGATGCGGCGATGCCTACCGTGCGTGCTGGAGCTGCTGGACCAGACGTAAGAATCGCCCCTCCCCCCCACCTGATGCCGGTGATGCCGGTGCAAGACAGCAAGAGAGTCGTCGGAGTACGGCTCCGACGACCGCCGGCCTTCTAGCGTTCATTCAAATAGACAGATGTACTATAGTTTAATTTGTATGGTTTAAACTTTAAACACGCGCGTGTGCTTTGAACTTTGAAGAGCAAGGTTTGTGAATGTGTGATAGGGGAGCATTTGTGCCGTACGTGATGGCGTGTATCATTTTGTAGCCTTGAGACCACAAGATTATTATGTCACACCTTGTCATCCAGAGTAAAGGACAGTTTGACTTGAACAAGTTAACATTATATTAGATCTGGGCGCTTAGCGTCGGATGGTGCAAATTCCCACAGAAACGTTAATATGTGAATAAAAAAACCTGCACCTCACCATGCTTATCTATACGCCTGCCCGCACGCCTGCCCGATGCCTGACCTGCCCCCATCTCCATCCGTTTGCCCCCCCTAGGTGCACCCCGCCCCGTCGTGCCCCCAACAGCCAGCCCAATCGTCGTCATGGCACACGTCCACGCCCAATGCTCGCTACACCCCATTCCCCGACGCCCCCTGACTCTTCGAACAGCAAGAAACGCATGCAACATGAAACACTTGAATGCAACATACGTCTAAAACAGATGAAACATCTAGAACATACACTTGCAACATATGTGTGAAAACATATGCAACATCCAGATAGAACACTTGCAACTTACAACATGAAAACACTTGCTGCACCAGAAGACTGAAAGAGAAGAAACATTTTGGAACGTACCGTTGCAACATATGTGTGAAAACATATGCAACATCCAAAACGATTGCAACATACGTCTGGAAACAGATGAACATTTTAAACAAACTCTTGCAACATGCCTCTGACACACTTGCAACACATGCAACATGTACAACATCCCTCGATCTACTTTTGCAACATACATATGAAACAAGTGCAACATACATCTGAAACGTCTGAAACACTGGAACATACATATGCAACATAGGGGAGGGGAATGCTAGGCCGGTCGATTTCAATCGTCAGGGTCAGAGACGGCGGCGAGCGGCTGCACGCAAGCACCAGCACCACCAATATCGGGCTTAGCTCAGTGGCGACGGTGGGGGAGGAGCGCCATGGCCACCTTGGTGGGGGAGCTCGGTCGTCGCGGTGAGAGAGGGTGCCGCCGGGGGTGGGGAGGACGCCACGCCGGGGTGGGGGAGAGCCACCCACTCCCCTGCAACACCGTCACACCACCTCCATGGATCTCGCTCGTGCTCCATGGATGTCGCCGCGGCGGGGGACAGGGCCACCGGATCTGTGGCATTGGGAGCTCCCGGTGGGTGAGGGGAGGGGCGCCGCCGGGCTGGGGGAAGGAAGGGGTGGGGGAGCAAGTGAGTGAGAGAGAGAGAGCGGAGTATTCAGTGTTCCTCTCACCAGTCACCACCCATCGCTGCAACCTCACCCTGCCAAGTGTACCATGCCTCTATATCAGTCTTCTATTCCATGACTCCATGAGAAATCGCGAGCACAGGCCATCTAGCTGCAAAGACGAACCTAAATCAAAGCAGTACTGGAAAGATCAAATTAAACCCCCGAGACACCATGAAGTGAAGACACAGATATATGCAGCAAGCCAAGTTGCAGTATCACGGCATAATTTTCTCAGTTCTTTTTTGTTTGTTTGTTTTCGATACAGACTTATAGAGACAACAGCATGACACTACTAGTCTGCTACACCAGAACCAAAAGAGAGGGTTAAGAAGAACCAACCAACCTAATATTAAACATGTTACATAATCTGATTCCAATATGTACTAGGTTTCGTTGTAACAGACAAACATGTTTGCAATTCTATTCCTGATATTAAACCACGAAAAGCTGCCTGTCCTGGTCGGCAAACTACCAAGGCGACGACGGTGGCCCCAAAGCCAAGCGCCGAGCATCACAGCCCTAGGGTGGCGCTGTTGGCGACGAGGCAGCAGTCGCCGTCCCCTCCACCTCCGCAGCGGGCGCGCGAAGCCGTCGCGTCCGCAGCTGGACCCGCCGCCCACCCAGCGAGTAAGCCAGACGGGTGCGAACGCTTCGCGACTCGGATCAAGAAGCCCATGGTGTCTGCGTTTCCTCCTCGCCGCTGGAGGAGGACCCGGAGTACACAGCTGCCTCCGGACGGTGCTCGGCGCGGCCGGGGTGGGGCCACTCCATGGCGTCGCCGGACGCCGGTGGACACAATCATGTTCCACCTCCTGGAACTGGAGCTGCCCGCGGACGAGTCACGGCTGGGTCCCCTCTGACACCGGTGGAACCGGAAGCTGTTGTTCCACCTGGCGCAGGAGCTGCTGGCGGAGGTAGACCTACTGCTCGGCCTGGACGCACCGACGGCGACGATGGCGATGTCATCAGGAGGAGCAATGTTAACAACGGGGCTACCGCTGCTAGGGAAGGTGTGGAAAAGGGTCCGGAGCTTCCAGTTGGCGGACTGCCAGGTAGTGGGCGACATCGACGCGCTGGTGCCTGGTGGCGGCGGACCCGGAGCCCTCCCTGACGACGACGCCGGAGGAGGAGCGCTCTGAGCCGCAGGAGCAGACGCCAGACGGCATCGGAAGAGGAGCGCACCGACGCCAGACGAGCACCAGACGAGACCGACGAGCGTGGGGCCATGGGAGGTGAGGAGAAGAAGGAAGTGTTTTTTTTAAAAGAAAAATAAAACTAAGGGGTTAAATAAAAAATACATACCACTCTAGCGTGCCACGTTAGAAAAAATATCACATAGCTGACATGGACCTACGGTGTACCACTTAACAAGTTTAAGGGCACCAATGCAATGAAACCCAGGTGGGGGACCCTCTCCCCTCCCGTCGACTAATAAAAAAACAAGTTTAAAGGCATATAAATGCATTTTTTTCAAGTTCATGGACATATGTGACACAACTTACAAGTTCGGGGCTCCTGGTGCATTATATTTAACTCTAAAAATTACACTCTCACAAAAAAAACACGCAGCCCTTTCGTCGAATCGTGAGCGCGCGGGCACACCCTTGAGAACACGTTGCCTTCGTTCCCCGCGCTGGATGACAACACGGCCCCACGTTCGGTAGTTTCTTGCATGGCGCGCGAGCCCGTCAAATCGGTGAAAACACGTTTTTGGAAGAGGGTTTTACCCATGTGCCATTATAAAAGGGGGTCGTTACCTACACGTCACTAAAAAGCTCGAGGGCACTCAGGTGCAATCGGTCGGAACTTTTTTTGTCGCCCCAGCCATTCCATCCACATTCCGTCCAGTTTTCACCATTTTAGCTGCCCCAACATGTGGGCTCGGCCAGTGAAAATGTCTAAAATACCCCTCCTATCTTATCCTCTCCTTCCTCTTCTCCTTCACCCCATCCACTCGCCCCGCCGTAGAGTCCTCCCGCACGGCCATGCCCCAGCCACTTCTCTCGCGCCATCCTCCGCCCGGCAGGGCCACACCCCTACCCCGCACTAGCCTGCCCCGACCGCCTCCTCCAGCGCCGCCCTTCGCCGACTGCTCCTCACCAGGCCACGCCGCCGCCCCGCCACCGCTTACTCGCGCCGCGGCCCTGCTCGCTCAGGTTGTCGTCTGCAAAGATAGCAGCAGCGAGGAGCAAGGAGATGACAAGGCCAAGGAGGAGCAGATGGAGAGTACGAACGCGGTAACTCCCCAGCCATAGTTGCCTGCTCGCGCGGGCCACGCCCTCCTCGCGCACCGTCTCCAACTCTGCAGTGCGGCCCCGAGAAAAGCCTCCCCGCTTGTGTACGTGGTCGGGGGCCTATCTCGACCGTCCATTCAGTCAATGGTACGAATCTTGATGCTGCTACGTTCCTCACTCTATTATGTTGGGTTTAGGGTTTAGGATTTAGGGTTTAGGGTTTTAGTTTTAGGGTTTAGGGTTTAGGGACTAGGGTTTAGGGTCTTATTAAATCTAATGGTTTAGTAAGCCGATTCACAAGCGAGCACAAATCTTGATGCAGCTGGGACACTTCGACGGCCACGATGTGGCGTGCAGCCACACATACAAATAGTAAATCCACTCTTGCCCCGCGCCCGAACGTCCCGTGCAGGTCGCGGCGTCACAGCGCGTCGCCAACAGGTTCCTGCTCTGCCTTCGAGGCGCGGCGAGGGGGTGGCGGTCTTCGGCGGGGCCCACTGTTCCTCCTCTGCCGCAGGAGAGACAACCCCTTGTACTACATCCCAGTGCAGCCGTGCAGGCCGGCGTCGCCGTCAACCTGGCACGAGTGCCGGCTACATGTCCCTGGGAGCAACACACCCGGCGACCACGATGCCGAACGTCCCGACGGGCACCCCGCAAGCTCTATGGCACCCGAGCATCTGGTGTGCAGCGGCTTTTCGACGTCCCTTGCATAGCACACCGAGGTAAGCGTCTTAGGCGACGCTCGAACTCTGGGAAGACTGAGCGATATGCCGATATCGTCGGCGTCCATATGCCTCACGACAACCTCGTAGGCCTCGGCCACCATCTCCTCGCGCAGGAGCAAGCCCACGACGTCGTCGCTAGCGGTCGCGTATGTCATCCAGGAACGCTAGCGGCTAGCGGACGCGGACTTGCTGAGGCCTCAGAGGACGCTCGCGACGGCACCAGCTTGGTGGTGGATATGGTGCCGTTGCTGTCTGCGTCAAAGAAGCGGAAGGCGTGGCGCGGGTCC